TAATTAATTTGTAAATTTTAACATAATCAAGTGACTAAAACTAAATTAGACCCAGATTCCAAAACATCTTCTCATCATCGCGTACTCCAAAGCGTGACGTACCAAACTAGCAAGTACCATATTTATGGTCTTGATTCACTTTCTAAAGTCTTTTATATCGCTCCATAAAACCCTATAAGCTCAAGGACTGAAAAATAGAAAGAAAAATACCCAAAAAAAAAAGTGAGGGAAAGAGAGTTTCGATAATGGCGAGAAGTGTTTCAGTTTGGTTTGTTTTGGTCGCAATCGTCTGCTTTGTAATTGCGATCTCAGCTGAAGAGTACAGTGAATCGGAGGAGTTTGTTTGACTTTGGATCATTCCAACTTTACTGATACAGTTAGTAAGCACAAGTTTATCGTCGTCGAGTTTTACGCTCCTTGGTAAGTCTTTCATCTTTTTTTTCCCATTTGCGCCTAATTTTTGCTTATTAGTTTTTAGATCTTAATTTTATTTTTCTTTGAGAAAAGGAGGATTCAAGTGCATGCAATGAATTTATTTGTTGATTTAGAATTTAAGGAGGCTAAAATCTCTTTTAAAAAAGATTTTTTAGTGCATTTTACTCTTTATTACCAGATATTATTTTTCCTGGAGAAAGTTTTTAATTTCAGTTGTTAAGATTTTAGATCAGTGTCCAATTATAAGTTTACTTGATAGAAGTTAGAAATTAATTTGAAAAATTGAACTCGTAGTTTGCTATCTGACATTTGGTTATCTTGAAGTGATATAATTGAGTGCTTATAGAGTTCCTCAAAGAATCACTTGCTTTTGGAATCAGAGGAAAATTCTCTCATAAATTATGAGGAAACAATAAAGTTTTTATTATGAAAAGTCCTCATTTTATACTTTTTAAGCACTGCTTTCGACTTTCAATCTGCTAGGTTGTTGGAGTTTGACCTTTCTTAAAATGTAAAGTGCTACATGTGTGATTATGATGTGCTAACATGACATCATTTAGTAAACAAATTTTGCAAGAATGGGCTACATCTCTAGATCGCTTCGGTTTATTATATTACTAGTTATTCTGTTCTATAATTTGTTATCTAAATGTAGCAAACATGATTCTATGATCATTGATATATATTTTATGCAATGATTATTTAATTAGCCTTGAAATGCTTTGTTATTGAGAGATTTAACTTAATTTCTCAGTTTAAAATTTGTAACAAATTCCTTTCATTTCCTTATCATGCCTTGCTAGTCTTGTTTATCTTCTTGGCATTAAATTCTTTTAATTCTACTTTAGGTGTGGGCACTGTAGGAATCTTGCTCCTGAGGTAAAAGAATTAAATTTCCCCTGAAGTACTCAATTCTTATTGATAATTTATATGCTTAGTCTCCTAATAACAATAAAACTTCTTTGTTTCCCATGTAGTATGAGAAAGCAGCATCTATATTAAGTAAACACTACCCTCCAGTCATTCTTGCCAAAGTTGACGCCAATGAGGAAGCAAACAAAGGTTTAGCAAATCAATATGACGTTAGGGGTTACCCTACACTTAAAATTTTGAGAAATGGAGGGAAGGATGTTCAAGAATACAAAGGGCCACGTGTGAAGCTGATGGTATTGTGGAGTATTTGAAGAAACAAAGCGGTCCTGCTTCTGCTGAATTGAAGTCGACAGAAGATGCCACTGAGCTCATTGATGACAAGAAAATAGTAGTTGTAAGCTCTCTGAGAATTCTTTGCTCTTCTGTTTCCTTTTTTCATTATGAAGTTTAGCTGATATGCGTGTATGTGTTTTATTTCTAGGTTGGAGTGTTCCAGAAATTCTCTGGCGAAGAGTTTGAGAATTATATAACACTTGCTGAAATTGCGTTCTGATTATGAATTTGGTCATACTTTAGATGCTAAGCACCTTCCCCGTGGTGAATCATCAGTGATTGGCCCTGTGGTCAGACTTTTCAAGCCTTTGATGAACTCTTTGTTGACTTCAAGGTAATCTTGAGCTAGAGCTAGCAAGTTTGGCATGATAAACTACATGAAATGGGGAAAATAACTAAAAACATGATGGGACGCAAATAGACGAACAAGTCAAAATTTAGATAATAAAAATGATTAATTTACCAAATTATATAATATATGATACTTAAACATGAATATGTTTAACAATATGCGAATTGCTAATCTATCTGGACCCTGGAGCATTGACTATGATCTATATCATATCATCATTGAAATACAAATTCACTTATGTTGTTAGATGCATTTGTACCACTCACAATTATCTTTTACTGAAGATATTTCTTGCAGGATTTTAATGTGGAAGCTCTAGAGAAGTTTGTTGAAGAATCTAGCATTCCCCTTGTTACACTTTTTAACAAGGACCCAAGCAATCACCCATTTGTTATCAAGTTCTATAACAGTCCCAACCATAAGGTAAATTTACAGGATCAGAAACTACTTTTCTCCTATAGTTCTTATATAATTTGAAATAAATCAGAGTGTGGCTGTCATTTGTTTGCTAACAAGCATTATCTTGGAATGCCAATGTTTGTCATGTTTGAACTACCAAATAAATATCTTCATTCACCTTTAATGCACTTTAGAGTTTGGACCGTGTTATTCAGTTTTCTAGCAGCTTTCTTTTCTATATCATTTTGGTTTGCTTGTCATGAGTCATAATTTGATCCTTACATCCTTTAAGCTCATCTACTAATAGAAAATTCTGAATATGTTAGGCTATGTTGTTTGCAAACTTAAGTGGTGAGGGTATTGATCCCTTAAAATCTAAGTACCGTGAAGTTGCTGAGCAATACAAACAAGATGGAATTGGTTTCCTTTTGGGAGATCTTGAGGCTAGTCAAGCTGCCTTCCAGGTTAGTCTCTACTTGAATATAGTAGTTTGTTTATTGCATTTGCTACACAAGTCTAATTATTATTTTTTGTTTGAAAACAGTATTTTGGAGTTCAAGAAAGCCAAGTACCTCTAATAATCATTCAGAATAATGATGGAAAGAAGTATTTGAAACCAAATTTGAAGGCTGATGATATTGCACCATTTGTGAAGGATTACAAGGTGACATCTTCACTAGATTTAATGTATTTTTTGGGAGTATGATAAAACTTATACTTTCTTAATTCTTGCTATCAAAATTCTGGTATAATCACAACTTTTTGTCTCTTGTGCTGGTTAAGTTCATGAGTTATTGATAGGTATGAAAGTGTGAGTTATGAGACATTTTGGTAGTTTTCAATGTTCCTCTTTGGCTAAAATACTCTTTTGCAGGAAGGAAAAGTTTCACCATATGTAAAATCTGAACCTGTTCCTGAGGAGAATAACGAACCTGTGAAAGTGGTTGTTGCTGATACCCTAGAAGACATGGTTTTCAAATCAGGAAAAAATGGTGTGTAATTGGTAGATTCTTGCTATTCTCAGTTTCCCCCCCAAACTAAAAAAAACCTGTCACACTTGATATCGGATGGTTATATTATGTAGAAGACATAATACTCTTATAATTGCATGCAGTTTTTTCATCCAACAGTGTGGAACTTTGAATTTGGAATGAACTGGTGGATAACTTATTTTTGTTGTGAAGATATGGTATAGTTATGTGAATCTAAAATTTTAACTTTGAAGTGAATAGCTTATTCTTTTTTCCGTTTTCAGAGCTACGTGGTAGCTATTTTGTGAATCTTAAATTAGGGAGTAGAGTAATGCTTTTGACCACGTTTGTTTGAGTTTTCAAGTGATTTACAGCTGTTGGGAGAGACTTCAATTTTCATGTATAATTAAGCAATTATACTTTTGAAATCACCTTTCGTAGTAAAATGATTTCAAGCTTTTCTTTCTGCAGTTCTTCTTGAATTTATGCCCCCTGGTGTGGCATTGCAAGAAATTGCTGTCCATTACGAAAAAGATGCTAGTGTTTTGATTGCAAAACTTGTAAGTTTCTTTTATTTTAGTTGGTTTTGTATTGCTTTCTATAATATTGAAATATTATCCCAGTTGTAAAGTTTCATCTTCGGTTTTTTATATGTTTTGGTCAGCTGAAGTTTTTAGCTGCACTCTGATTAGCGAGAGTGTATAATAGAAATTATAAGTGCTTAAAAAATTCTCCATGGGTTATTGTTGGTAGAATACTCTCTCAGAACGCTATGATGATTTTTATTATTTAGTTGGTGATTTTAGATAAATTATCAGGAAGAATCTTTTTAATGGATTATAGCTATAATGGTACTTTAGTGGCACTAATTGTTGCAGGGACCCGCATCTCTTATATGTTGTGTTGACATCGTGTGTGTTAGATCTATGTTGCTCTAATTTTTCATTTTTCTTGGAGCAATTATGTCTGATACTTGTGTCAGATGCATATTTGGACATGGATGCAGGTATATGATCCTGCAAGATGCTTCCAAATATATGTGAAAGCTTAGAAAATATAAACACACCTGTGTTGGACACCCTCTCGTATCTGACAGTCACTTCTTAGTCCGAGTGTTGTTAACTGACCTACATTTTGGGAAAGAATTTTTTTACCCATTTGCTTCTCCATTTTTCTTTGCAGGATGCAACTGTAAATGATATTGTTAACGAGAGCTTTGATGTTAGAGGTTATCCAACCATTTATTTTAGATCTTCAAGTGGAAACATAACTCCATACGAGGGCGATAGGACCAAGGAAGACATCATCAACTTCATTGAACAGAACAAGGACAAAACTGTTAAACAAGAATCAGCGAAGGATGAGCTCTGAAAAGGGTAAGTTTCTTACAAGTAATGCCGTTCTTTTAATCTAATAGTATAAGCGAACAAATGATAAAAAGCCGTTTATGCTGAAATCATTTAATCATTTTTACTCCTTGTAGATGGCGTGTGGATTTGCAGTTTTATACAGGAACTGCCATCGATTGGATGATGCCGGATCTTCTTCCTCGCCTCCTTCCCTTTTAGTTCAATGAATCTCTTTTAATTTAAAAAAAAAAAAATCTTATTTATGAAATAATGTAGGTTGTGATTTTCGGACTTTTAGCTTTTAATTTATAATAGTTTTGTGAGCAGTTAGTTGTAATAGTTTGTCCGCAGGAAACATCAGAGCAAGTTAAATCTAGAGATGATACTTGAGTTTGTTCACTTATGTCCTTTCTAATGTTTTCAGTCGCTGCTACTTGCTTTGACGATATTTTTTTAGTATGGGAGTAGTAGTTTAGGAACCCTAAAATATAATATGGAAATTGCATAAATTATCAATACTTGCATGTAATGTTTTAGACTTGAACCCCCGTGGATTTAGATATGTGTAAATAGTTCCCCTAACAAAATACGTTGTACACTTTCATACTACTTACTACTGGTAGTGGTTTCATTTTTGGTCTTCTTTAACTAGCGTCAGAAGATATATTAGGCCATTATCTCTTGCTTAAGTGATAGATGTTAACCATTGTCATCCTTCTAATATTATGTTTGACGTCGTGGTGAACTAAGGGTGAGGAAGGGATTTGAGAAGGTGAGCTTGGATTTTGTGTAGGTCTGATAATTGAAGAGGCTTTAACATGAATTCTTCTGCACCTCCTTCCAGGCACCTGCATTCATCATTTTCTCAATTACTTTAATCATTTCACTTTCTTTCTCTTCAAAGGAAAAAAAAAGGAGAAAATATGAAAAAAAACTGACACGCTAATTCATTTTTTTTGGGGGGGGGGGAAGAGAGACTTACATGCTAATTCTTGAAGGTACATTCTCTGATGACATCACCACCACTGGGACATCTTTCCAAGAAGATCCCTGCAATTGTAAGTAAATACCAAGTTAAAGTATAATCTTGAGAATGCGAGATCATTTAATTTATTTAAAATTGATCCAGTCAATAAATAACTTATTAACCTTTAAACTACAGTTTCAAACCCTATGTAAGAGATCGCCTGACATTTAAAATTGGAGTAAATTTAAACACTGCAGTTACATAATTAGGTATGATTGGGTTCACCTTGACGCGCTTGAGTAAATCATAGCCGCTCGTTCCTGGCATTGAAAAGTCTGTCATGATTAAGTTGACGTTAAGTCCCTATATTCCATAAGAAACACAAGAAAATATTAGTTTAAACTAAAAATATCAAAATTAATAAATAACTTTAATTATCTAATCAAATAAGAGTCCAAGAAAACCATCTATTCATCTGTTTAGCTTCTGTTCTTTGAAAGAAAGAAAAAAAGTTAAAGAGTGCAAGAGAACCAATTTTGTTTAGCAAAAACAGCATGCATTAATGGCGGTTAAATTAATGGGTTGTTTTTCTCTATTATCAAGTTAAAAAGAAAAAGACACATCGAATAACGTAGCCATTAAATGATTTTTTTAAAAAAAAATATATGTTGTATGCAAATACCTTGGAAAATTAACTAAAACAATAAAATGACCCCTAAATTTTAATAAGTAAATCTTGAGCTAATTACCTTGGAATGATTTTGAAAACTGTAAAGAATACAATATTTTTATTCTAAAACTAACTTTATGATATTTAAAACCTGATGTTGTTGGGAAGACGAAGCAGGTGTTGTTGAGTTATGAAGCAGCCCTAGATATTCCAACGCTTTTTCCCCAGACTCCAAGCACGTCACTGCAATTATATACATCATGTCTGAACCAAACAGCTTTGAAAAATAAATCAATTTATGATCTTACCTTGGCATGAAAAAGCTTTGAGGAGCTTCTCCAATAACTTCCTGTCGATAACGCTGTCATCGACGGCCAAAACATGAAAACGGCGACGTTCTTCTTCTTCTTCTTCTTCCTCTTCTTCTGTTTCTGCATAATTTCTTCTTCCCAAGGTTGTCTGTTCAGAACAGTATCGTCTGATTTCATCAACTCCATTAACAAAAGGCTCGGTTGCTCGTGAGAGATCAGAGAAAGAAGTTCAGACAGTATCGTCTGATTTCATCAACTCCATTAACAAAAGGCTCGGTTGCTCGTGAGAGATCAGAGAAAGAAGGGAAGAAAGAGTTGGAATTGCTTCGGTTTAATCTGAATGAATGAATGAAATAAAGAGTGTAGAGAGAAGAAAATAGAGTTGTTCCGAGAACGGCAACTAGTATTTTGCAGCAAATGAAACTTATATTATTAGAATGTTGTGTGAGAGTATAAATTTATACTATCATTTATTAATGAATAAAATCATTAGTATTCAAGAATTTTATATTTTTTTATTTGTGCGATGAAAGCTTCATGTAATATGAATTATGTAGACAGAAGATATTTTTTTATATTATCTAGTATTTTTATATACAGCTAGTTAAATTCAGTTATAATTGTAAATTAATTTTACATTAATGAAATATTAAATATATATGTAGTTGTGATCTCTCCCTAGATTCTGTGTAACGTGTGTGGGCACATTTTTCTTTCTCTTCCTCATTCGGTCACTGTCGTTTTCTCTTTATTTTCCCGGATTTTGTTTGATTACCAAGGAAAATCCTGATTAGATCTCTGTTGTCATTTGTTTATTTTCAAATTTTTTTTTTAATTTTTTATACATTTTTAAGGGTTGGAATAGATGACTGAAAAAAATAGGGTAAACTATGCCAATGATCACTAACGTTTGAGTAAGTGTTTGTTTTTACCATTGACGTTTGAAAATCATAAATCGGTCACTAACATTATCGTTTGTTACAAAATGATCACTTGACCTTAACAATCGTTATTGCGGGTGACAAAATTGACGTGACACGTTAATATATTTTTTTGCATTATTTGACCATTATTTTGACCTACCATTTTTTTCATCCCCACTCTCTCATCTTCACTCAAAATCCCCCATTTTGAATGAATGAGGGGGCATTATTTGACCATTATATGACCAAGGAGCTCATGGAGTTAAACAAAGAAGAAGCATAGAGTGTTTCACAACTTACTATTCACCCTTACAGAGTCAACTTCGAGGGAAGCTTCTACGAAGATTTCACTGTATGTGGCAACCATGTAGATAGGATGGAGCCTGGCTTCGTTTCCGCACCTTCAAGGTCCCTCCTCCCGTACAAAGCAGTGCACGTATCAAATCGAGTATAAAGTGGTAGCAAACTAATGCCACATATGAACCCATAGGGAGCAAATTGATTATATTAGATTTTTTGATAATAAGATAAACCAAAGAAAATTTGTTGAGTTAATCGATCGACAAAATAGCCAAGTGGGGGTGAATTGGCAATAAAAATTTTGGTGGAAGCTTTTGCAGAAAATAGAAAATAATTGCACAACGATTTAGAGTGGTTCGACTTTCTTAACCAAAGTCTACGTTCACTACCTTAGCTATCCACACTAAGGATTTTCCACAAATTCACTAATTTGTTTCTTTTGAGGACAAAGAGTAACCTTACAAATCCCTCAAGAATTATACCCCAAATTCTTGAGAACACTCTCTTCCAAAGAGAACAATACAAATTTGCAAACTTACAGAAAAACCTCACAAGGCAATATGTTTGCACAATTTATAACAAGAAAACAACATCAAAGATGATTACAAATGGCCAATATGTTTTCTTGAAAGCAAAATGAATATTAAGGAAATTGGCTTGAATTGCACAAACTTGATGTTTGATTATTTCTCTCTTGTTTCTCAATGAATTCTTGTTAATCAATGGCTTCAGAACTTGTTTAAATACACATTGGATTGATTCTAGCCATTGCGAATCATTTGGGTGATGTTAGAGCCATTGTAGTGTGAAAACCCTCTTGAAAAAGGTTGATGGGAGCATGGGGTATCGGTACCCCTTCACTAGGTATCGGTACTACAGTGTAAAATTCAAATATTTCGACCGTTAAATGACTAGGGGTATCGGTACCTCTAAGGGGGTATCGATACCCATTGTGCATTATGTTTTTCTCGGGGCCAAAATTGGCATAGGGGTATCGGTACACCCTATGAGGGGTTTCAGTACCTCCTTATTTCAAACTTATTTTTGTCTCGATTAAGGCTCGAAATACTTTGTAGAAATTGTTTTAAAAACATTTGAAGTATGAAACACAATTTTACACTTTAGTAAGGATTGAAATTGACCTTTGAAAAACTTGAAGTAATATTTTGATATTCAAATAGTTAATCGATATACTTTAAAATTCATATAAAATCTTAAAAATCATTAACACTTTATTTTTTATATCGAAATATCAAAATGTTTTCAACAATCTCCCCCTTTTTGATATAACAAAACATTTTAGTAATTTTAAGATTTTCTTATTGAAAATCATTTTTGAAATCAATTTTTGAAAATTACTCCCCCTTACTATAACACTTCTCCCCCTTTTTGTTAAATCAAAAAGACTCTAAAACGTTTTTAAACAAGGTTTTTGAAAAATTAGCCAATTGCTATTTAGATAAAACATAAGCTGCTAAGATCACAATCAAGAGAAAGATTAGCCATTAGTTCTATAAATCAATATTCATAGATAATGTGCAATGGTAATTGGTCATATTCTAAATGATGCAAAAATTAATAAAACATTAAATTCAAATTAAAAATTCGACCAAACCAAATATATAAATATAAGCATTCTAGTTCAATCATCCAAACAACCATAACAAACAAATCCAAAAACATCCAAAATGTTTTAACAATAATTTCTATCTAAACTTAAGAAAACAAAGCAAGAAACAGTCTAAACGTTAATCAGTGGAGCAGAGGAGATAAATGTGCCCATATATTGGCCACATCACATGTAAGCGCGTCGACCTTCTCATCCGTCGATATCTTGAAATAGATCTTGAAGTTCTGGATCGTCATCCGCTGTCGGTGCTGGAGGAGCTTGTGAAGAGCTAGCTCCTGGTGTTTTCTCAGTAGATCGAACCCATTGATCATTTTCCTTTTTCCATCCCAATTTCTTTAAAGATGTCAAGTTGATTTTGTTTTTGAGAGGGATGGCTACATTAAGCCGTACCTTAAGTTGGGCTTGATAAACAAGTTACTCAGAAGACAGTCGTAAACTAGAGTTTCAACAAGCTTTTTATTAGGACAAGGTTTACGGTTTTAACGAGTTCAACAAAGATATTTGTGGTAGGTTTATTTCTTATTTTTATGGATATAATGTATCCACCAAAGGTCTAAAGCTCTAAGAGTGGAGTATTTGCCTCCGAATAGTCTAAACCACCAAGATATGATCAGATGAAGAAACGATCATGGCATCTAACACACTCGCACTCGTCTTGGCTTTGTAAGGAGTACCTACTATTTGTTTTTCATTATCTAAACTGTTATTATCTAAACCAAATACGTAGCTATATAGTCCGAGTCAATATAAATGAATTGACCTAGAAGATAGAATTGAATTCTTATTGTTTCGGTTTGAGCTTCATTTTGGATACAAACCGCATTGGAATAGAAAACTCGAACAAGTTGTTGGAAACTACTGGTTCGAGTTGAAAAAGTTATCAAATTTCCAAGCTTGGTAGGGTAGGAAGATATCTAAAGTTCATATCTAACATTGCTCGAAGAGAAGGGATATGTTCTTCCCGAATTTTATAAGACTCGAAGAGATAAATAAACCTATGGTAAAGATTATCCCTATGGCCAGGTTTGTAAAGCACAAGTTTGAATTGTCATTCGGGATCATCAGGGTTAGGATTTTATGGTTTGAATAGGAGGTGAATTTGGAGGTGGGTTTGGTGGTCGGTTTGAACGACTAGATGACTTAGGGCGTTTTTAGACTGGTTCAAGAAATCGGATAGGATAGATACCTGTAATTTTAAAAACATATGTATGCAACAATATCAATCCCAAAACTCAAAGAGTCCTCAATATTTCAAGGTTCTCTAAAATAATCTTAATGGGCAATTTGAAAACTATGTTGAAAACAATGTTTGAAAATCAATGTAGTTTTCAAAACAACATAATTAAATAAAAACAACAATTTAAAATCAAAACATTTTTATTTCGAAATTTTAAATTTTTTTTTTTGATAAAATCTTGTTTTTGATGAAATTGGTTGTAGAATCTAGTTTAGAAACATCATATAATCAATGCCCGATATATAGTTCAACCTAGAACTAATCAAAACTAGTCCTAAGCTCAAAAATCAATAAAATAGTGGTTTTAGGATAATACCTTGAAAATTTTGAGATTGAGTGAGAAGTGATGTAATTTGCACTAATTGATGATGCTAGCAAGATTAGGAGTTGAAAAGCGAGCGATTTCTGACTTGTATTCGAAGGATATGAGTAAGGAGGACTTTAAGAGTGAAGAGGGGAGAAACAACGATGGAGAGTGTTTAAAAGGGTTTTGGGAAAAATGATGATTTTTAGGGATTTAAAGCCTAAACCCGACAGGGGATATCGGTACCCTTATAGGGGTATCAATACACATTCAAAGAGGGTGTGATACACGTTGAAGGGGTATTGATACCTAGCAAGGGGGTATCATTACACATTCAAAGAGGGTATCGATACACGTTGAAGGGGTATTGATACCTAGCAAGGGGGTATCGATACCTATAAAGGGGGTATCGATACCTAGTGCACATAAATGTAAAAAATCTACTTTTAAACACTTAGAATGCTAAATTAATTTACTCTAGTGGTATTGGCAACTCATATTACGAAAATTAACTATGTTCAATCAATCAAATCTATCCTTAAATTTTATTTGAGCATATTATTAATTTTCTCTAAGGATAATAAACTCCCCCTAACTAATAGCAAAGAATGTAATCAAAATTGTTATTTTTATGAGCATTTTTCAATCTTAATTAAAAGTGCTAAAATAATTTTAAACACTAAGTGAATATAGGTCAGTTAAACCTAATTCTCTCCTAAGTTTCCAAAATCTTTCTTTATCTAAAGGTTTTTTTTAAAAATATATGCTAATTGGTGCAAAGTATCAACAAATTCTAGAACTACATCTCCTTTAGCGACATGATCTCTAATGAAATGATGTCTAATTTCAATGTGCTTAGTTCTAGAGTGTTAGATGTGATTTTTAGTGAGACAAATAGCACTAGTATTGTCACACTTGATAGGTATTGTACCTACTTCAATTCCATAATCTAAAAGTTGTTGTTTCATCCATAAAACTTGTGCACAACAACTACCGACTGAAATGTATTCCGCTTCAGTGGTAGATAAT